TTAAATGTAATAAATTGTCACATATTGATTAAATGAAGTGTTTTACAGAAATATTTTCACATGAAATTGTGGCTATGTTTCTCAGTTCACCCTCTAGTGGCCTTATGCCAATACTGCATTTTCCCTTTTCAGTCATTTCATAGTTGGTTTTACTTTCTTTGGTTTACATTTGTTTTACAGCTTAACGCTAAATGACTTAATCACATCTCTAAATTAATGCATTGTAGTTGTTTAGTTTGTGCTAAAATACTATTCTTAAAATGATAGAGAATAATGGGTTTATTTTATTGTTTTTATGATGTTAATAGACTCAAGTGACACATTCTGTCTCCTACTTAATCTTTTCTATTAAGGTACTTTTGTTAAGGGTTCCATATCTCCCAAATGTGCTCTAAAGATCCTCATGGGGGGAAAATGTAATTGACAGTCTTTTGAATCTCATTGATTTACACTCTTTTCTCATCTGTAAACCAATTTTAAAATCATAATAAAGTGGTAAAAGATTATGGACCTGACAAAAGGAGGATAAACACACATTTTACTAATCATAGCAGGAAGCTTGAAATACACATCAGCTTTCTACAAGATGGTGAAAGAGGAAAAGCATGCTATTTTTGTTTTTTAAAAAATTTTGTTCTAAAGGTCAATCGTTTGTGTTAATATGATACTGCAAAATTTTCGCCAAAATGTGAGGTAAGCAAACAATAAATACTCTTACCTAAATTACATGGATCCCTGGCAACAGCAATGGATACTTATAAAAAACAACTATCCAAGTAACAAGTAACTTTTCATTAAGACCCATTATGGAGAATATCAGTCTGCAAGAAAATTTTTCATTTCACAAGTAACACTTTTTTCCCCAATAATATTTTGGGAAGTCTAAATTTAAGCATTTACTATTTATTATTTATTTATTTTAGAGACAGGGTCTTTCTCTGTCACCCAGGTTGGAGTGCAGTGGCACCATCATAGCTCACTGTAGCCTTGAACTCCTGGATTTAAGTGAGCCTTCTGCCTCAGCCTCCAAAAGTCCTGGGATTACAGGCATGAACCACTGCACCTGGCCACATTTACTATTTGTCAGCATCATTGATAACTACATTTTTGAATCAGTTTATCTTCTATCATGCATGCACATGTTTGTTATTTTCCCATTGAGACTAAAGTTTTCCCTGTCTTCAATTAATAGACGAGAAGTGATAGGTTTGATGTTTTCTTCGTTTTCTCATGTGGTGTGTTTGCTATTCTGACTAAAAGAAAATTAAACATTGCCTACAGATTGTACAATTATTGTACAATAAAAAAACTTGGAAACTACACAGATTTTTGAAGCAAATTTAATCACATAGAAGACTATATGTATTATTCCATGTTTGTTTATGTGTCACAGAACTAACATATGGCCAAGAAAAAAATATACAATTTTTGAAATTAGTGGATTTTTCATTAATTTGGATGTATATTTAATAAGAGTTTAAACAGATAAGACCTTTGCTCCCAGGAATCTTCTTTCTATTCTTCTAAAAGATATTAAATAAATAATAATACACATAAATATATGACTACAAATATCTGCAGTGAAGAAAAAAGAATATAATGAAGATCAGAACAGGAGTATGTGACTTAGATTTTGGCATGTAGGAAAGACTTTGCTGAGGAAATAATATTTAAGCTGAAACCTGAAAGATAATTTAGAGTTAGCCAGATGGAAAGTTGGGAACAAGCTTCCCAGGCAGGAGAACTGTATGCTTAAAAATTCTAAGGTGGAAAACAGCTAAAAAGTGAATTGCCAAGTAGCATTTACTATAATTCTGTATACTACAAAGCTATACTTATGCTCTTTTCCTTTGGGCATTTTCTGGTCTACAGAAAAACTTGTATTATCAAATACTTTATTCATAATAAATATCTGTTAACTGTGTATCTCAGTAGATAAAAATTATGATCAGCACACATCTATATATATATACACATATACATGGAATACGCATGGCTAATTACTCTTAGAACACTTTCAACAATTTTTTTATTCCTTAGGAAAAGAATGCTATTGACCTATTTTGCATATAATAACTTTCAAAAGGATCTCAGCAGTAGGCTTCTCTCTCTCTCTCTCTCTCTCTCTCTCTCTCTTCTTTTTTCCTGTTTTTGAGACAGGGTTTTGCTCTGTTGTCCAGGCTGAAGCGCAGTAGCCCAAACATGGCTTACTGCTGCCTTGAACTCCCAGGCTTAACCTATCCTCTCGCCTTGGCCTCTCAAGCAGCTGGGACTAGAGGCATATGATACCATGTCTGGCTAATGTCTATATTTTTTATAGAGATGGGGTTTCACCATGTTGCCCAGGCTGGTCTCCAACTCCTGGTCTGAAGGGATCTGTCTGCCTTGGCCTCCTAAAGTGCTGGGATTACAAGTGTGAACCACCACGCTGGCCAAGACTATGTCTTATAGATAGTACTTTTTTTTGGACAGGGTCTCACTCCATCACCCAGGGTTGAATGCAATGGCACAATCATAGTTTATTGTAACCTTGAACTCTTGGGCTCAAGCAATCCTCTCACCTAAAGCTTCCCAGTAGCTATGACTCTGGGCATGTTCCACCACCCCCAGGTAAATTTTAAATTCTTGGTAGAGATGAGGTTTCATTGCATTGCTCAGGCTGATCTCAAACTCTTCACTTCCAGTGATGTTCCCACCTTGGACTCCCAAAGCATTGGGATTACAGGGATGAGTTACCCTCCAGCCTATATTGTACTCTAGGCTGTCTAGGGAATTAATCTGGAATTTTTTTTTTTTTTTTTGAGATGGAGTCTCACTCTGTCACCCAGGCTGGAGTACAGTGGTGAGATCTTGGCTGACTGCAATCTCTGCCACCCAGGTTCAAGCTATTCTCCTGCCTCAGCCTCCTGAGTAGCTGGAATCACAGATGCGTGCCACCACGCCTAGCTAATTTTGTACATTTTTAGTAGAGATGGGATTTTACCATGCCAGGATGGACTCGATCTCCTGGCCTCATGATCCGCTCGCCTCGGCCTCCAAAGTGTTGGGATTACAGGCGTGAGCCACCGCACCTGGCCTCAGAGCTGAGTAGGTGGGATTTTTTGTTGTTGTTGTTGTTGTTTGTTGTTTACTTTTCCCCCTCTGTTCACTATTAAAGTATAGGACATTAATGATTTAGTAAAAATGAAAAAAAAATGCTTGTAACTTTATTACCTGATGTGATGGTTAACACTGAGCATCTACTTGACTGGATTAAAGGATGCAAAGTATTATTCCTGGGTGTGTCTGTGAGGGTGTTACCAAAGCAGATTAACATTTGAGTCAGTGGGCTGGGAAAGGCAGACCCAACCTTAATCTGGGTGGGCACCATCTAATCTGCTGTAGGTGGGAGCAGAATAAAAGCAGGCAGAAGAACGTGAAAACACTAGACTGGCTTAGCCTCCCAGCCTATATCTTTCTCCCGTGCTGGATACTTTCTGCCCTCAAACATTGGACTCCAAGTTCTTTAGCTTTGGGACTTGAACTGGCGTCCTTGCCCCTCAGCTTGTAGACGGCCTATTGTGGGACCTGGTGATTGTATGAGTTAACACTCCTTAATAAATTCCCCTTTATATATACATCTTTCCTATTAGTTTTGTCCCTCTAGAGAACCCTGACTAATACGTCTGGCTAAAGTAACAACCTCAGCTATTATTTTTTAACACTTCCCTGTAAGACTTGAAGTATAAGGCCAGACAAATTCTCAAGATGGCGAACCACCAACCTGGAATCTTAGGAGTGACATCCTCAAAAATTTTTAGAAGCAGATGATTGCTCAGTGACCAGCCCATTCCTTCTCACCTCTTAAAAAAAATCAAAATATAAACCAGAGTTTGTTTATCTGATCCTTTATACAAGATACACTATAAGTAAGGGTAAAACCTATGTCCTGGTCTTGTTTTACACCTGTTGTCATAGCTTAATTTTTAATGATATTCACTTTGACTTTCAAAAGTGTTCCAGTTTAAGACAATAAATTATATTGTCATTTTGCCTATAAAATCCTCAGTATAACCTATTAACAATAGCATGTCATACTGAAACCACCTAACCACTATTAGAAGTTGCCCAGTACCAGACAGTGTTTTAGTTGTAAGGCATAGAAACTCTTTGTGGAACACATAAGCAAAAATGGATTTCCTGGAGACATATAGGACAACTAGCTGTATGAAGATAAAACTGAAGAACTAGTATACCAGTGCACTGAAATGAGAATGGCACCTGCTAATAGAAACTATTGAATGGCCTCTTTAGGGTACCACAAATTGAGATATTTTGCCTCAGAGTTTCATTGTTTGTATCATTCTGCTAAGGTATGAAATTCTAAAGACAAGCAGTTTGATTGATCTTGGGTCAAGTGTTCCTCTCTCTTTTGAGACGGAGTCTTGCCCTGTTGCCCAGGTTGGAGTGCAATGGCATGCGATCTCTGTTCACAGCAAACTCTGCCTCCATGTTCGACCAATTGTCCTGCCTCAGCCTCCCAAATAGCTGTGATTGCAGGCACCCACCACTACGCCCAGCTAATTTTTGTACTTTTAGTTGAGACTGGGTTTCACTGTGTTAGCCAGGCTGGTCTTGTACTCTTGACCTCGTGATCTGCCTGCCTCGGCCTCTTAAAGTGCCGGGATTACAGGCGTGAGCCACTGCACCTGGCCAAGTGTTCCTCTTGATGATAGGGAAGTTAAAGTACTTTAACTGGCAGTTCTACCAAATGATATTCAATGGGAAAAGTGAAACGGGATTGAAGTAGAAGGAAAGGATGCTGGGCAGGAAAACCACAAAGGTTCACCATCTATCGTCAGGGAGTATTGAGGACTCATCTCAGGGGAGGTTTCAACTGACCTGTATGATACAGTACAGTTGAGAAATCCTCTTTTAGAGTTTGAGTTCATTCTTAAGACATAGGAAGACTTTTATATCATCATTTAAACCAATTGTTTAAAATTTCTACATCAACTTACTTTTGTAAAATCTCTCTTCAGGTAAGAGGCATATGATGAACAACTGCTGTTTTCAGGTAAACAAGTTCATCCACTTTCAACTCCTCCACATCTTGTTTCTGTTTGGATTTGAAGATGTGCTAACCAAGGAAACACATGAGAATATTAAAACAATGTTTCAGATCCATACTTCTCAATCTGGCATCGTTTAATATTCTCCACAACTAAACCCAACCCTATTTTTCCAGCTCTATCCCACCTACTCAGATATCCTGGGAAATACATCTACTCATCAATTCTAAACATGCACAATGTTTTCGTAATCCACCTGCCTTGGCCTCCCAAAATGCTGGGATTACAAGTGTAAGCCACCGCGCCTGGCCCCACAATGTTTTCTTGATCCTTTGCCTTTGTCAAAACCACCCTTTCCTTATCATATTCAATTGTTACGTATCCTTCAAGGGCCAGCTCATCTTATACTTACAGTGAACAAATTTATTTTGCTTTCATAGGTCAGAAAGATCTATCTTATGTTGTAACTCTGCCTGGCTATTTCACTGTTTTGCATAAATTATATTTCATGTGAATATGCCTTATACTTCGTACAATATCATACATTTCTTAAGAAGCAGAAATTATTTATCATAATTTTTTATATCCACAGCAGTGTGCCTTGAGATTTGTTAACTATGAGTCTAAGTTTTAAGTAGCAGTGACCAACTTCTACAGTTAAACCCAAATAATTGCTATGCTCTCTGCTTAAAAAAAAAGTTAAAAATAACTTTCGTACTATCTTTAATAAGTTTATTTGAGAAAGTTTCCACACCTTTAAATAGCACTGGGATCTTAGCCAGTTAGACCAATTAGGTCATATCCATTTACAGATTCAGAATGAGTGCACTCTTGTTGCATTACTCTAGTTGATGTAATTAAATGTCTTTTCATGACCTGAAAACCAGAGTGATGGTAATGTAATGTAAACAATTACAAATCTTGAGAATCCATGCATTTGAATTATTCAATTAATTTCAATGTTTACATTAAACATAATATAACACATTCCTTTAGTTCCTTTATATTAGATAAACTCTGTATACTGGCTCCTAATTTTCCTGCAATATAGGCTTGTTGACAAATCATCAAGCTTTTGGCTGGTTTTATACAAATCTTTGAAAGAGCTTAAAAAAATTCAACAGCAACTTACAAGTCCTTTACTAAAAATATCTATTTCTCTCCCAGGTTTACTCATATAATTACTGCCACAGAAGCCTCATGTTCTATAATTTTTGCTAAAAGATGGTATTATAGTTTTATAATCATCGATTTCTTTCTCTCACCTGCAATAGAGTTGTTTTGTGCCTGAAAATCTATTAAACACACATTTGTAAAGGATTTAACTAAGCTGACTTCAAAAATATATATATATAGGTCACCACTTGTCTTTTGCTCTTAATTGCTAAGTCCAAACTTTTACCGTAGTAACTTTAAAATGACATTGAAAATACTTTAAGTTTCTATCAACAGAGACTAGTGTTTGTTTATCCATGCCATTCCTATCCCTTCAAGAATTTTTCAGTTGAAGTTCTGAAGTTTATAATTTTTCTGTCTAAATTAAGATCTGTAGATATTTTGAAGCTGTATGCACTTACTTCAACATCTAGTCTAACCAATCACTTCATATAAGAATAGCTCTTTGTGATTTGACATATACACAGGAAAGTGTTCAAAGCTATGGCATTGTGAAGTCAGGAGTGCATCCACTTCTCTGAATTTAAGTGACAATGTAGTTATTGAAAGCATAGTGTTCATTTAGTATTCTATAAAAGCAAACAATTACGCTTTAAAAGTCCAAGGCACCATAATGCCCAGAAATGTGGCCAGGATCACACTAAAACTACCCCAGTATTTATCAAGTGTAATTATTAATACATTGTAGAAAGTTTCTATATCCACAAACATGTTAAAAAACGTGTTTATTTTTTTTATGGCTACAGCCTCTCAAATATAATGTCTTGCTTCGAGGGAGAAAAGCATTATAATATAAAAAGTAAATACGATTCTGTGTTTTGGTTCATTTTGTGTTGCTATAAGAGAATACCACAAACTGGATAATTTACAAAGCAAATACATTTCTATCTCATAGTCCTGAAGGCTGAGAAGTCTGCTATCAAAGTGCTAGCATCTGGTGAGGGTCTTCTTGCTTTATCATCCTACGGTAGAGGGAGAGAAAGTGAGAGAGCACAAGAGAGATCAAGAGAAGAGGCCCTAGAACTCAGTTTTTATCAGGAACCCACTCCTGGTAAAACAAAATTAATCTATTCATGAGGCCTCTGAATGATTCTACCTCTTAATATTGTCACAGTGGCAACTATATTTCAACATGAGTTTTGGAGGGTGCATTTAAACCATAGCACTCTCTAAACATGACAAGCCTCCTTGCTAAGACACCCAAAGTTTGTCCAAGTGGCCTTTGCTCTCCTTTCATGATACCTCTCTGCACACATCTCTGTGATAGTATAATTGGTTATGGCATTACACTAATAACAGTAAATCATGGATTTGATAAGTATGTACCAACAGTTTTCTTCAGTTCCAAATCAACAAATACATTTGTTAATGGATTTGATCTTTATGTATTGTATTAGTTGGTAGGGTTGCAAAAACAAAATACCACAGACTGGGTGGCTTAAGCCAAAGAAATTTATTTTCTCACAGTTCTGGAGGCTGGAAGTCCAAGATGAAAGTATTGGCAGGTTTGGATTTATCTGAGCCCTTACTTTGGCTTATAGGTGGGCACCTTCTCTCTGTATCCTCCTATGGCCTTTTCTCTGTGTCTCTGTATGTCCTAATCTCCTCTCCTTATAAGGACACCAGTGATGTTAGATTGGGCTCACCTCAGTGAACTCACTTAATCTTTACCTCCTTAAAGGGACTCTCTCCAAATCTAGTCATATTTTGAGATACTGGGAGTGAGGGCTTCAACATATAAAAATTTGGGAGAGTAGGGGCGGGAAGGGAACAATTCAGTTCATAATACACTGTGTCACTAGGCAAGAACAGTGAACAAGAAAGCAAAGGCAAATCATTTTTAAAACATCACACCCATGTGTGAAAATTTCCACTGCACCATGGCTGTTTAAGATGATGCAAAGTTTATGGCATGTAAATGGCATATAAAGGAAAATAAGTTTTCCCTATAATTGGAATTTTTCACCCACTCATACTTGCTTCATCAACTTTTTACCAGTAGATGCTTTTTACTCTTTAGCATAGGAATGCTCCAGTAGAGGAATCACTTAGCATGGGGGTTTCCAAACTGTTTTGTAGAATGCACTATGATTTACAAATTCTTGATGTATATTTTACTTTGAATATATTTAAACTTGCATAAATGCATTACAGTTATAAAATAAAACTAAAAACAGCTCCAATTGGAACAACATTGAAAGCCAATCACGTATATGATGGGTACTGCTGTGCTCAGGTGATCCTCCTGCCTCAGCCTCCTAAGCAGTTAGGATTATAGTCATGTGCCATCACACGTGGTGAATTAAACATTTTTTTTTTCTGTAGAGACAGGGTCCTGGTATGTTGCCCAGGCTGGTCTTGAACTCCTGGCCTCAAGCTATCCTTTTGCTTCAGCCTCCTAGGGTTGCTAGGATTACAGGTGTGAGCGACCATGCCCATCTCCTTTGCATGGTTTTTGTTGTTTATTTATTTATTTATTTATTTAGAAATGTAGTTTTACTCTTGTTGACCAGGTTGGAGTGCAATGGCGCAATCTCAGCTCACCGCAATCTCTGCCTCCAGGTTCAAGCAATTCTTCTGCTTCAGTCTCCCAAGTAGCTGGGATTACAGGCATGCAATTTTGTATGTCTGGCTAATTTTGTATTTTTTAGTAGAGAGGGGTTTTTTCCATGTTGGTCAGGCTGGTTTCAAACTCCTGACCTCAGGTGATCCACCCACCTCAGTCTCCCAAAGTGTGGATGACAGGCATGAGCCCCCATGCCCAGCTGCATGGTTTTAAAAAAATAGTTCAGATGCTGTGCACTTTTAGTCATATAAAACCACATAAAGAGGCACCATGCACACCAGGCAAGTTGTGGGTATAGTTGCCCAAGGCTTGTTCACATGACAGTGCTCCAGACAATTTGGACTGCATTTAATAAGTGAATATCTTCATGATTTGATACTTTGGTTATTTTCAGTGCTGTCATTTGAAGGGAATCTCATATGACATATATACTCATATTTTCTTCTGATTGGACAAATCTCCAATCCTTCTGCTTTCTGGGATCAGAAGTAATTTTAATACTTGCAGAATAACAGAATGAGTCCTATCTCTCATATGATGACTAGCATCCCAGTATTTCAGGGGAGAATGGGTAGGAATTTGATTAGTTTTATTTTACACCTTAACTTTGGGCTTTACTTCACCTACTGCACCATTTTTGGATCTCTTATCTTGCCTTACCCACTTTGCCTCAGGCTGCATACTACTCTGGTTCTTTATTTTTCCAAAGCACTGCTTAAAAATGTTTGTTGTATATAATTTTACTAAAGTCTTGCTGATACGGATTGGCAATCAGAAGCCTGGTTGGCACACAGACACGAAAAAACAAAAACTTCAAATGCAATGCTAGACGTCATTATTTTGGGGTACTTAATCAGTTCTTTCTCACTATGAAATTTCTTATTGGTCTTGGGCCTCTGTGTATCCACAACTTCTGCTGTGTGCCTGGGGCTTGTTTTTGTCTCATTTCTCCTTATAGCTGTGCTCCCCTGACTCTATTTCAAATATCCTCGGCTGTCCACCCTCATTCCCTTGAGTTATAATTAAACAATTTCTCTTCAATTTCTCTTATTTTCTTGACAGAGGAGTAGCTCCTTCTTTACTTTGTTCATTCTTTCCTAAACATACTCTTGGTGAATCTTGGCTTTAATGGCCAAAGAGGTTCTTAACTCAAATAGGAAATAAAAATCTCCCCAATTTAAACTATGCTAATATTTTTTTTTATAAGGCAGAAATAACTTGCCTGTTATTTGCTATAAAGAGAGTTCTTCTTTTTCTTTTTTCTATGCATACTTTTTGGTGATGTTGAAAATATTACCTGTAAAAACATACTATTTATTAAGAATAGAAAAATGCAGGCTGGGTGCTGTGGCTCATGCCTGTAATCCCAACACTTCAGGAAGCTGAGGAGGGTATATCATCTGGGGCTAGGAGTTCGAAATCTGTCTGGCAAACATGGTTAAACCCCATCTCTACTAAAAATACAAAAATTATCCAGACACGGTGGCGTGTGTCTGTAGTCCCAGCTACTCAAGAGGCTGAGGCGGGAGAATCGCTTAAACCCAGGAGGTGGAGTTTGCAGTGAGCCAAGATGGCGCCACTGCACTCCAGCCTGGGAGACAGAGTGCCACTCTGTCTCAAAAAAAAATAAAATAAAATAAAAAAATGCAGAAAATGTAACAATGTGTATAGTTATATATTGATTAACCTCAAGATAAATCATATTATACTATGCTATCTCCAATCTTCAAGTACTTGTTGAACATATTGAAAGCAATATATGAAATCTATGAAATTTATGATTTGTAATTAACAGAAAAAAAAGCATTTACACAGGTAATTCAAAAAGAAATGAAAATTGTTATAATTTGGTATGGGCA